TTATTATTCATTTTGTATTTTTTAGGGTTAGGTTAGATCAAGATCATTTGCTGGGTCTAGCGCTGCTGCTAGGACATACTAGGGGCCGAGAGCCACGTTTATGAAAGGCTAGGAGGTCGGGCGCTGCAGCAGCATGGCCAAATATATTCATGTCTATAGTTATAAGATCCATCTTCAAAATTGATAGGGGGCTGGGTGACAAAAAAAAATATTCTGCAAGAAATTACCAAACTTAATAAAGATTGATTAAACGTGTGTCTTGACTGTCTTGACTTGATCTTGGATCTGTAATGGATTAAATGGATTCGAATCCAAGTCGTATTTCTTCAAGATTTGGTAATTTAGTAATATCCGACTTGTGGACTCCCCCCTCCTCCTATGAATTTTGTACATCAATATTATATGTAAGACATGGATATAATTGACCATGTGGCCGCAGCGCCCTGCCCCCCTGGCCTGTTCTAGTTGCGGCGCTTGGCCCCCTAGCCTCAGCGCTCGGCCTCCTAGCCTGTCCTAGCCGCACCGCTCGGCCCAAAAAGAAAATTTTTTTTCGAAATTTTTTTAAAAGTTCAGATTTGGGTTTTTAAAGTAAAATTATTTTTTCAGAATTCCTGAATGGAAATTGTTTGTTCATTTAACTCTTTTGAAGTTTTACGGATGGTAAGCTTAATTTTGATTTTTTTTAATCACCAAAAAGATTTAATAAATCCGCAATTTTTTTATTATTGTTTGATAATTTAAGAAGAGAAAAGCATTGCACTGGGAAGAAAGAAAGCATTCAAATTCTAATTGAATTATTTAAAATTAAAAAAAGATGGGGGTTACTTCTTGAATATTTTGAAACCAATGCGTAAATGACGCAAGAAAAACCAGATTGTTCAAATTTGTTAGATTTGTCTTAGTTCTGAAGAACTCTTCTAATAAACTTTAGATCTATTTGAATTTTATATTGAGCTATTTTTTAAAACTAATGGGTAAAAGAAAAAACTAATCGGTAATAACGCATTTCTTTAGTATCCTCGCCAAATGTGTTTAAAAATTACCTCCCGGCCGATTTCGACGACCTTTAAAAGCGTAAATTATGCATTTGCTCTAGATAATCGGGGAAAGTATTACCAAAATAAAAAACCCTAAATTGTCGATTCATCAAGCTTTGCACATTTTGATATTCTTTTTTATTTTCTATTAATATTTCACAAATACTTGAATATTTCGTTGTTAAATAAAATTGCAAATGGCGCAAGAAAAACAATGATTTCCTAAAGGAGGCGTTGCATCTATGACATTTTTCAATATCTCAGTAAATAAAGATGTTAGCCGGTGCTACTTTTGCATGTATACTCATCTGATGCTCTAGGAACAGGATATGAGATCAAATCTTCAATGTCTCCGTTTGGAGACCGGAGATATGGGATAAGGTACCTCTGTGGGCTCCGATTTTTTATCTCCGGCCCTAATGAGCTTACAGAGCCCAAATTCAACACACATTCACCTAAGGACCTATATAATTTTATAAAAAAATTCTTTTGAAAAAATTTGATTTTTTCTTGCAACGACAGTGTTACAAAAAAACGGCATTTTTAAAATTTGTTTACATGTCTTTTTTGGGGGTTTTCCGATAAAAAATCACAAAAGAAAAAGGTTACAGAAAATGTTTTTAAACTATTATGAATCTTTTTTAGAAAAGACGGTTTAAAAAAAATGTTCACATCACCCTCTACAGGGTGTCCCAAAAATATTTCCCACTCATTTTCAAAATTCTATGAGTTTTACTGAGCCGACGGAGGTACCTTATCCCATATCTCCGGTCTCCGAACAGAGACATTGAAGATTTGATCTTATATCCTGTTCCTAGAACATCAGATGACTATACATGCAAAAGTAGCACTGGCTAACATCATTACTTACTGAGATATTGAAAAATGTCATAGAAATCATTGTTTTTCTTGCGACATTTGCAATTTTATCTAACAGCGAATGTTAAGTTTTTGTATCCGACACTGCGGTGCATTTTTTGTTTTATTTTTTGGCATAAATATATCCTAAAACTTTATAAAACATTTAGAAATGAGGAAATTTTATAAGCTATCTTTCTTCAAAAGTTCAGATTCGGGTTCTAGGAGTATGAAAATTTTTCTTTGCAGTTTTTGGTTGCTATTTTACCTCTTGGATCCGGATCCAGGAAGCAAAAGTCTTGCGGATCCTATGGATCCGGATTCTAAGCACTGATTCTGAGGTTGTATTTAAAACTTTTTGTTCAAAAAAAAAATACATTTTTTTAAGATTTCATTTTTTAAGGTAAAGTAAAGTTGGAATCCAATCTCTGTAGTAACCTGGCGAGATCCAAGTATCCAAGTATCCAAGTATCCAAGTATCCAAGTATCCAAGTATCCAAGTATCTCAGTACTGGCTTCATCTGTAGTTCATCTATAACCTGGTAAGATATTTAAACATTGAGTTCTTGTTCTGTCCTACTAAGATATACCTGGATCCAATCTCTCTAGTACATCTATATATGATAGGGCAGTGGGGATCCTGGATCCGCACTGGAAAAAAGTGGATCCGGATCCAGGTCTTTTCTTTAAGATTTACTGAATTTTTCAACAAAAATTAATTTTCAAATTTTTTTAATTATTTTTTTCGCTTATTTTTATCTTAAAACTTGATGAACCATTCATAAATGAGCAAAGTTTTATAATCTCTTTTTTTTCTAAAGTTCAGACTTGGGTTTTATGATTAAAAATTTTTTTTTTGCAGTTTTTGGTTAATTTTTTACCCTTTGGATCCGGATCCATGGATCCTCACATTTTTGCGGATCCGGATCCTAAGCACTGGATACATGGAAAGGGAGTAGTATGATGTGGGAAAAGGAGTATGATGTAGGATAGGGAGTATGAGGGAGGAAAGTGAGTAGGATAGAGGGAAGGGAGTAGGATTATCTATCTTCTACATGAATTTTATCCATATCAATTTCAATTTTTTAAATCACTTTGTTTTCAGGTTTGCCATGGCAACAAAACCAGTATTTTTTGACGTCAACAACATTCCTGGGCATTGGACCTTTCTACCAAAACACGAAGAAGTGGAATGGCAAATTGATAGAAAAAATGACAGTATAAAGATGAGAAAACTACAGAAAAAACAGAGATTAAGGAGGTATCGCGTAAAATTCCTCAAGAAGAAACATTCTAATATAAAAACCAATTAATTATTGCATTAGAATTAATGATGAATTTTACTTTTGCAAATTGAACATTTAGTAACATACATCGGCAATAATGATAAAATGAGCAACTCTTTAATTTTTAACAGGTACATTACTTTTTGGCCTGTATTTGCTAATGCATTGATTCAGGATTCGCAGAAAGAAAATGCAGGAACTGACATAATTCTCATGGGGAGCAATTTAAAAATACACACTTTCTTTGGGATAATAGTCGAGTTGTGAGATTTTATAGGGGTTTTATGGTCAGGGCAAATATTCAAATATTCATGGGAAACTGAAAAGGAAATCAGGTCTTAAAGGGAGTGTTTGCGAGAAATGAAAGGGGGTATAGGCTTAATGCGATAAAAAGCGCTTTTGATCGCTAATAATCTTACTTCTATCTGTTGCGTTGTTTCTTATCGCATTAAGCCTATAGCTCCTTTCATTTTTCGCGAACAGTCCATTTAATATAAATATATTAATTGTGTATCTGTTTTTTAGGGGTATATATTTATCGCATAAATCATCTCCGTTCTTACATATTCAATTTTCTAAGTTTATGGGAAAGCACACATTTTCTTATATCATTCATTGTCGTTAATAAAATTAATAAAAGTTGAAATTAATGTGTCGCGTGATGGTTCTCTTCTAGAGGACCAAGATCCAGACATCCTACCTGATCCTGAAAATCGAGAATCACAGGATACCCAGATACAGAGTACAGCAACTGGTGATGGTGCTACATCCATGGTAAGTTTTTGATCAACTTAATAAAATCGTTTTTTTCCGATGAAAGCTAATATTTTTGGTCAAACAGAAAAATATACACCTATGCAGTATTTCTACATAGTCATTAAATGCAAAGTCTGATGTAAGATGGGTCGCGAATGTTCTTATAGAGAATGTAGCTTAGAGTGACAGCATTTGATTCGATGTTTTTAAAGCCTTTAAAGGGAGTGTTCGCGAGAAATGAAAGGCTTAATGCGATAAAAAAGCGCTTTTGATCGCTACTAATCTTACTTCTATCCGTTGTGCTTATAAGGAGAAAATTGTTAAAAACGACTAATACCTAAGAAAGTAGTGTCCACACAAATTCAGAGATGCAACATACGACTTAGACCGTAAAAAAATCTATTTAATTTCAAACGAATCATTCAGATATTACAACCTATAGTCATCGATTATCTTTTGCCACATTTGTATATAGTTAATTTTTCATAATATGTTTTTATTGTTATGATCTCAGAGTTATAAAAACATTTATTCCTGTTTCGAGGATTTTTGGTAATGAAGACGACATTTTCATATTTCCAGGAATGTTCGAAAACAAGTTGAAAGCTAAATATTATTTTTAAAAATCAAATCAAAACATATTATGAAAAATCAACTATATACTAATGTGGCTAATTGGAATTTGAAAATGGAGGATAACTTCAAATTCCACTTTCAGTCCCTTTAATAATAAATTAAAATTAACCCATTCGTGACGGGACGGTCAATTTTGACCGGGTAAGGTTTTTAATTTTTAGCGCCTTCATTTTTAAACCAAATGTTGTCTTGTTTTATTCCAGATCCTTCCTACATATATGCCGAGTTTTGCCAATAGGTGGCAGGTCAATAGGTTATACCGGCTTCAGTTGGNTGGGGGGGGGGGGGTATTGATCTCCTTCAAGGTAACGGGTGTTTATCAGTCCTCAAAGCTTTGAAGCATTAAAAAAATTTCAGAAAATTATTGAAAAGGACTTAAGTTTACATTATAATGTTATAAGTTCGATCAGAAAAGGATAACAAATGCATGCTAAAAGCAATCGTCTACATTATTTTAAATGCTCAATAACTTTTACTTAAAAATTGAATAAATTATCTTGATCACCAGAGGCCGAATTTAAATAATTTGAGGTGCGGCTTAAATTTAAGCTGCGGCTCAAATATGATTGGATCCACTTAAAATTGTATTACATTTTTCAAGATTTAAGCCAGCGCTTAATTGAAACCGGTTTTGGGGGGATTTTAGACGCGGCTTAAATTCATTATATTCGAACACAAGATCATTTGAAAAAATACAGAAAAATAAAATTACATGGGCGATAACTGAGAAAAAATGGTTGATTACCAAATTTTTAAAAATATTTTTAAAATTCTTATTTAAAGATAATTCTGATTTAGGTTGACACATTGTTTGGAGTACAAGTTATTAAGAACAGAGATAATAAACAAAGTTATAGGTAAATTTCATCCCTGATAAAAAAAAAGTTAATAACAGTGCTTAGTATCCTGATCCGTAAGATTTTGGCTTCCTGGACAAGGATTCGTAAAAATGTGCAGATCAACGGATCCGGATCCAAGGGCAAAAATATCAACCAAAATTTGCAAAAACAAATTTTTTACTCTTCTAACCAAAATATTAACTATTATAAAAAGAGAGATTATAAAAATCTCCTGAGTTATAAATGGTTTGTTAAGTTTTAACATAAAAATAATCGAACAAAACATTCAAATCTCTGCTTTGTTAGAACAAATTTAGTAAATTTAAAATTAAAAACCTTTTTTTAAGTGGGGATCCGGATCCAGGATCTGGGATCCAGATCTGCATCAAAATTAATTGGATCCTTAGTTCTGGTTAATAAAGTTCATGTTTTAAATTTAGTTAAATAACTAAATTTTTTTTGAGAAAAGAAATTAAATTTTCTTTATGAAGTGATAAGTATTTGCACAATATACTTGCAGGGTTCATCGGAGAGAATTGGCCGAACCGAAGTCTGCAATGTGGATATTCTTTTATGGGTAAAGTTATCAGAAGTGTGGTTGGACCTCATTATCCTAACATGTTCCTGTATGAACCAGGTGATGTTTTTATTAACTGGTTGTTTTTTCATTTACATTTGCTACTTTTTATATGTCTCATGTCTTAACACTTAAAAGGATTGGGTAAAGATGGAGAAGAATGTGTTCTCATGTTTTTATTTACTTGAAATATGTAACTTTTAGATCAATATCTTTGAATTTAAATAAAATTCTTTAAAATTTCTTGTTGTAATGAACATAAATGGTGAAAATTCCTAATGGGTAAAATAAACATTTATAGAAGTTACAGAGATTGATGCTGCGGGAGTTTCATCTACGCGTATGCTGCTTTCATCTGTTTCCACTCTACCAAGAGCTATGAGCCAGTGGGTAAGAAAATTGAATTGAGTGTTACTGATTGTCTGTAAACCTTTAAAGATTTAAAATCACTTTATGAACTGTTAATCTTACAAATACTAACTTATTAACGAACATTTGTTTCTTTGCCAATAAAGAAAACCTTGTTTGCAATAAAAACTTTTTTTGGGTCATTTAATGAAATGGCAATGTAAACCTTTCAAATTATTTTTAGATGACGTCAAGGTTTGACAAAGATAAGAAAAGGAGAATATTTGTAAGCTCTGAAGATTCACGGAAACAGAAGAAGAAGAGGTTCAACCTGCCTTGCAGTCCGGGCAAACATAATGGAGAGGTAATATTGAAGTTAATGTTTCTAGTGAACATTTTGTATCCAATCCTTTTCATCTTTACTCAATCAATCCCATACTTTTCCTCTTAAATCAATCAATCCCATACTTTTCCTCTTAAATCAATCAATCCCATACTTTTCCTCTTAAATCAATCAATCCCATACTTTTCCTCTTAAATCAATTAATCCAATAATTTTCATCTTTATTCGCTCACTCCCATACTGTTAATTTTTACTCAATCAATCCCATACCTTTCATCTTTACTCAATCAATCCCAGACTTTTTATCTGTACAAAATAAATTCCATACTTCTCACGTTTACACAATTCATACTAGACATTTTATCTTTACTAAATCAATGTACTCAATCGGTCCAATACTTCTCATCTTTACTCAATCAATCCCATACTTCTCATCTTTACGCAATATATCGAATCTTTTTCATTTGAACTTTCTGCGTTCTTCTCAGTTTTAGATCAACCCATCCACAGTAAGTCTGCATTACTTTGGATTGTTTTGATCTTAAAAGTGTTGTGCATAGGTCCCTGAGCACTCTTAGATTGTAAAATAATCTGAACAAATGTTGGAACTTCACAACAAATTTCGAAACAAAGTTTTTTGTTTAAATTAAAGGAAAAATGATCAACATCAGATTTAATGATTCAGAAATCATTGGAATGATAAAAAATAATAGATTTTAAATTTGTTCACGTAATAATTTTTAGCTTGATGTAGAAAGCTTGGAATTACTGAAAACCCTGGAAAGAAAGACTTCGATGGGGATAACTGAATCTATGTTTCAGAGTTCTAGGGGAACACTGCAGTTTAAGTTAAGGTACATCTATCTATACATCTTTGCCAAAAAGATTAAATTGTTTATAATGAATAATCTAATGCAGTTTAACGTTTTTCAATACAAAAAAAAATGTTATGATTCCATTAAAAGAAAATTATTATCATGATAAATTGCTAAAATGAGAAAGTACGTAAATCAAATGAGTACAAAACCACCTGGCTCCGTTTTAAGAACACAAAGATAAAAATTAGATACTGAATTTTTCAGGGAGCACAGAGTTCTAACGGACGAACTGTTCATTAAGATCTTCCTTAGCTCTGCTCGATATGTATCGTCTCATGTAAGTAATTTCCGAGCATTACATTACACTGTGGCAGTTACGATGAAATGAATTAAGAAAAGTAAATTTCAATTCAAAAATATTGATTTAAACTTGTTAATTTTTCGTTTTAATGTTCAAAGTATTAAAATTATTTACTTCTATTACAACATCTTCATTGACTACTTCTATAGTTTAACTTTAAAGAGGACCAGATGTTTCGACATGTTTTAATGCTTGAATACATATGTTTGATTATTTATCTTTAGTTTAAGTGGATGTTCAATGTCGACTTTGAGGCGACTTTGAAGTCTGGATGGAGTAGTTTCATCAGTAAGTTTTTTTTATGTTTTGCTTTATGGTATCTTAATCTAATGTACGGATTGTACGGATTTTTTTTTGTAAACCTAAAATTGTACGGATTGTACGGATTTTTATCCTGGAAATACACCTTTTTTATTTTTACTCATTTCAGCAAAGGAATTGAGTTTTTGCCAAAAATCCCAATTTTATAACATACATATATCTCAACAACCAGATGATGCATACCTTTCATATTTCAAACTTACATTGTTTGATCCACCAGAATTCATAGTTTGAAATATCTATGGTATACAACATTTGGTTTAAAAGAAATTGGGTTTTGAAAATCCGAATTTGTGGCAAAGACTTAATTCCTTTCTCATGAAAATTTAAAAACAAATTCTCGTCAAAATGAAGTTAGTTTAACTTATTTTCTGCATTCTGAATAACATTAGATTGATTAATGTTTCAATTGACAATAAAAATTCATCTTATTTTTGCATTATTTCCGGGTTCTCATCCAAGCATTCAAATACCTACAGTAGTTTTTACTACCAGGAGTATTGGTTGTTAGAGGGAACATCATTGGTTGCTTAGGGAATGGTGGGGGGAGTTAAGAGATGGTGGTTAAAATGAAATATTTCAACTGACATAAATTTTTCAGATTATAACATGCATGAGCATAGTTTAGAAAAGTTTCACATTGAATTTTGTATTCTATTTCTCAACAACCCCTTTCTGGAATATCGATATTTTAGATATATACAGGAAGGGGAATTCATATAATTATGAATACATTAACATAATTGAACAATATTTAGACTTGAAATTTCACTTTGTGATAAGAAAAGTTTAAAGTTTACATGTTCAAGATGTTTAATGTAAAAGATATAAACTAAAATGTTTAGTTTCTAAACATTTTGTAATAGTTATATACTTTTACACAGTATATTTTATAATATATTTCTATATCAAAAATCAATTATGTATCCCCCCCCCTTTCCCGGGGTTTTTAAAAATGTAATTAAAGTAGATGAGAGAAAAATAATTTTCCCATGTAAAAATCCCGTGTTCATCTCGTGAAAAAAATCCCGTGTTCATCTCGTGAAATAAACTCAAGTTTTCGCCGTGTAAAAACTCGGTCCTAGACCCGTGTTCAAATCGTCGACAATCACCTCGACAACACGTGAATTATCACGGGATAATGACGAGTCACTCGTGTGAAATAAACCAAATAATCTTGTGTTCTTCACGGGTTTTTGTTTGTTGGGATACTGCAGTTGACTGGATTATATATAGATTTGAAATAACGTCTCAGGAATTTCTTGGGGAAAATTTCCGAAGAATTTCTCAGGAATTTCTCGAAACTGAGACTCAAAACTGTGATCCCCAAAAAATCTCTCATCTTGGGAACCAATTCTGGGGAATTTCTCTAGAATTTCCTAGGAATCAGTTACAGGAAATGATTCTCGAGAAACTCCTCGAATATTCTTCATAGAAAGACACCACGGTTGGAGAATATGGGGAAATTCCACACTTTTGTTACTTGGGAAATATTATTAAAAACATCTAAGATTTGAATCATACATTCAATTTACTTTTGTTTGACTTCAATACATAAATTTGGCTTGTCTGTTTGTTTGTTTGTATCCAAGAAACGTCAAAACAGCTGAACCGATCGTGCCCAAATTTTGTGTGGGACCTCAAGTGGCCCCAGGGAAGGTTTATGAATAATCAAAATTTTTAATTTTGTGTTTAAATTTTAATTTTTTTATTTGAAAATGCGCAAGAAAAAATTATGAAATCCGCAAACTTTTTTTTTTATGCTGTGCAAAGAGAAGATGCTCACAGATAAAGCCACAATTAAAAGTTAAAACAGAAGATGGGCGCAAAAAGTCCTAAAAGCCTAGTTTCATTAATTTATTAACTTTGGCTATTTATAACATATTATTGACCCATTTTTATTATTTTATTATTAGGTCATTGACCCTCCAGAAATCTTCTGAACATCATGATGTAAAGAACCCGGTTGATGCTTATTTAAATTCCATTCAAAAGATATATTTTAGTTTAAAACTTAAAATGTAAAGATATTGGCGTTTATGAGATGAAACAATTATTTTGAAAAATAGGAATATTACATTTACTACTCCTTCATATGTTTATTCTTTTTTGAAAAATATTTATGTCTAAATATGTTATAGCTTAGGAAAAACTAATCATGTAAAGCGACATCTAGATATTGAAATATTTTGCAATAAGCAAAAAACAATTCTGAATTGGCAATAAAAAAGTGATAAGGTTTATTGCGGAAACATGACTAAATGATGATAATACAAGATTTATTATTCTGGATAAAAAAGTATTTCTAAACTAAATTTTAAATTATTGAAAACTTAATTAAAATATGAATTTTTTAAGCTACAATAATATTTCTTATACCACAACTCTGCAAATTATAAACACACAAATGTTTATAATTATATACATCTCATGCAAACGTTGAATTAAATGGACATGTAGAGTCCATTTTATCTGCCATGTCCGATTCACAACAGTACCCTTTAAACCTCCTATTATTAGTAACAACTATGAACTAAGAATGAGGAGGATATATTAGTTTTTCTAAAGTGTTCAATTCTGGAATTTCCTCCATGTTTCTGGAGCCAAAAAGCACATGTCATGAAACCTCAAACAAAAATAATCAATTTCTAAATACCCTTGAAATTAAGTTTACATTTTATGCAGTCCTTTCAACTGCAGTAATAACAGCTGTTCAATTAAAAAAAATAATGATGAATCATATTTAGCGCAAATATTCAGTTTTAGTGGAGAGTGAGTAAGAACCATTTACATCTACTGTTCGGTCTATAGTGTAATCTTACCATAAATGCAATCTCTGGTACCGGCAGGTCTGGCGTACCCAGTGTGTAGTAGACCCAGCACAAAATATAGGCTGGCTGGATTGATGTGATATTTTTACTTTTCTATCATTTATTGTTAATAAAGAATATGCCAAACCTTAGACCTGATAAATAAGATTTCTAGGAGACATGTAATATCCGACTCAAAGAAGTTCGTAGTAAGATTTCGATTCTACCGGAGACCACCGGAGGGATTTTATTTTCACTGGAGGGGTTTCAAAAAATGCCTTTTACAATTAAAACTTTACGCAGGGTGATTTACATTTCACTGGAGGGATTTAGATGTCCTTCCTGGGGGGTTATAATACCACTGGAGGGATTCAGTTATCCTTCCAAGGGGTTTATAATTCCACTGGAGGGATTCAGATATCCTT